GCAGTTCCAGCTTCTTGTGCTGTGTCGGGCCGCCTCCCAACCCCTCCCCACATGCCCTCCCAGCCCCTCCCTCCCCCATGTGCCGCTGTCACGCTGTCACCGCCGCCTCACACATTCCCGGGGGCAGTCCCAGCCTGCCCCTGAGCGCTACATCCCGGCACTCACCCCACCCCCACCCTGGACATGCTCTGCCCGTGTGCTGCGAAACAGCAGCTCAGCGGCTCTGCTCAGGCATGTTTTTTTACAATTCAGCTCCACTCCAGAGGTGCTATTTTTTTTATCACAATTCTCAAGCCATTTAATCAAAGTTACTGGCCACCTGATAATTTTACCAGCCTTGTTTATCAATCAAAGCCTTCACCAATCTCCTGTTTAATAACTAAGGTTATAAATTCCTTTTTGCTGGGAATCACTAGCTGTATTTCAAGACAAGGGTTTTCTTCTAAGTTTTATTTGTCTTGGTTCATACTACTGCAAATAACAACTTTAAAAAGTAAATGTGTTCAAAATTTGACAATATTAGATCAGTTTTGATAGATTTATTCATAAGATTGCTAAACCTTTACTGCAAAATGTTTCCATTAAAGCCTTTTCGGGCAGACTAAAGCTTTTTTTTGTTAATTCTACGTGTCACCCTATAAAAAGCGATATGCCATCCAGATAAAGCCTGCTCTCTGATCTGAAATGCCAATATTAAACTCCTGTATACTTACTTAATTCTATAGATACCTTTTACTGTAGTCCAAATCCCAAACAAAAAGGCAAAACTTGACCTTCAAACCTATACAGATCTTAATATGGTTTTTCATATTTTTAACACTTGTGACACTTGGAGTTCTGAGGCAGGTAAACCTACACAAGGTGGAGCTGCCTGGCCCCCCCATGGACCACACTCAAATGCAGAAGACATTGGACAAGAAAATGCCCCATCCTGGCGTTCTTTCAGACCTTCCTCCAGGGCTGCTGGACTGTCCTAGCCACCAGAGAGTAAGTAAGTCATCCTAACTTCTAGCCCTCATATAAAATGTCGACACTGCCAGATTCATCGCTGACAAAATGCTGCCGAAGACTGAGGGGGTTCAGGGCAACAACAGCCCCCTTTAAGGTGTCCATCTCAGATTCCAAGTTGCACTAAAATCTCAGGTAAGACATTCTCTATATTTGTGGACATAGAGGCCATATATACAGAGTTCTTTCTGAGTATTCAGGCTGCTATATTAAGTCCTCAATCTCTATGACGGGGTATTGATAGTCAACCTATGCCGTTTACAAACAGGGCCTATTTTGTGCAGGTCCCAGTCCTAAATCTTAAAATGCCTTTTATATAGGCTGACTTAGACACACTGAGCCCTCAACAGCTTCTACCTGTTATCACTAATAACCTCACCTCAGTGATATAAGACCACCCCCTTCCTTTCTTATTCACCAATTTGTCAGACAACCCTGGTCAAGACTAACAGATACATTTTGTCCTCTCACTTTGTTTATACTTTTTCAAGATACTTAAAAGCCTTTCCCACAACCAGATAAACTGCTGATACAACCAGGTTACAGCGACCCATGCCTAAATCAAAGTTGCTGGACTCCCATCCTGGTTTCACATCACTCAGGCTAAGAGGTGCCCTCCCAGCCCTAAATCTGATCATTCTGAGTAGTTATCTCATCTTCTGTCGCCTACCCATCTCCGTCTCACAAAGGCCTCGCAGCCACAGTTAACAGGCTAAGTCATGTTTTGTTATCCACTTTGGTTCCTAATTTTTTACATTCTATTAATGATCATTTTTATAGCAGGACTCTTGACAGTCTTTCCTAAAGACTCCCACATCATGCGTAAGATAATCTTCATAATGTTCTATATGACAACAGTTGCAGTTCTTTCTACCCTCAGCTGTCTGGTTAAACGTGACATCCCTGAAAGCCTAAGCCCTTACCTTCCCTATATTGGTACAGCCACCGCCTTCCCTGCTCCCCCTATTTCTTTCAGTTCAACTCCTGGACCAGAGACAAGTTTTATACACCTACCCTCTTAACTTTTATGCTTTCAGATGGGGGAGTAATCACCTCTCATAACATCATCTCTCCTAACCTCACATTTAATTTTCAGAATTCTGCCTTACTATGGAACATGTCTAAATCAAAAGCACCTTTCCCTCTACCTCACCTGGGTCCTTAAATATGACAGTGCCATGTCTCCTCATAACATCTTGTCTCTTTGTTTTTCCAGTCTAACATACATGCATTCACCAGTGAAGTGGTCCTGGTCAAAACACCCGGCACCAGTGTCTACCTGGGCATCAAACCTTCATCCCGTTGACTCCCCTAGGCTCCAATACAGCGCCCTCTGCCAGCAGGAAGTAGTTAAAGAGTGAAATCTTTGCCCCTTTCCATAATAATAATCATAAGACAGGATATGAAAGGGTTTTGGCCCAGATAGGACACTGTAGCCAGGAAAGCCTCAACCAGAAGCAGGAAGCCCCTATCTCCCCTGCCCCTAGGAAGTTACCTGTGATGCCATCTTCCAGCCCCTGGAAATTTACATATGGTACCAAACCTAGGACCAATGAGCTACCTGTGCATCCCTAATGCCCACCTTAGGTTCCACCCCAAACCGAGGCTATTTACATGCCCCCACGCCACGTGTCCGCTGGAGATATCGCCGGATGCCAGCGGTAGGGGTGCCGGTCGTCTCTCTCCGTGTTCTCAGAATAAAGGCCGCTTTTTATTTTATACTTCTCATCTTTTGGAAATATTTTTCATCTTTTGGAAATAATCCTAGCACCTAGCACTTGGGAGGCTAAGGTAAGACAATCACCACAAGTTCAAAGCCAGCCTGAGGGGCTACATAGTGAGTTCACAGTCAGCCTGAACTAGAAGGTGACACACTGTCTCAACAAAACAACAGTGAAAGACCTTGTATATATGTCCATCACTGGTTCCCAACACCTAAAACAATGCTTATCACATAATAGGTACTCAACAAATATTTGTGAAATAAGAGGGAAAGAAAGAACGTTTACTTTACCCCTTTTCCGGGATACTTATATTCACAGGGTCAGTTTCCTAGGAAAATGCCTATCTTTTTCACCGATAGATATCTAGTACCTGTTGGAGAGGTCGGAACACATTTTGAAAGAAATAATCTATAACCTCTAGCTAACTTGCTAATATTTTGTGTCCATCCTATTATCAAAAGTAATATATTACTTTATGTGCATTTTTCTAATCCTTATACCAATCTGAAAAGTAGCCATTACCCTTACTATTTAGGAAACCAGCCCAAGAAAGGAAATCAAGAAACTCTGAGATCACACAGGGCAAGTGGAAAAAAGGGATTCCCTATTTGGCAAGTCTGACCCCAGAATATTCTTTCCTGTGCATCAAAACCACCTCCTTCATCTTTAAATCACCTTCAGCCCAGACTTCTAACTTGCATTCTAGACCCATATTTCCACCTTGCCTCTCACATAGTGCAAATCAACAAACACAAAGCCAACCTATCACCTTTCTTTCACCTGCTCTTCCTGTTATCATTAGTCTTAAACCACAACATCCCCATCTCACTGGCTCTGTAAGCTGGATACAAGGTCCATTTTCATCTCCCTTGCTCTGTTGATAAGCAATTTCTAATGCACCTGACTTCAACTTTACCTCTGGAACTGAGACCCACTGTATTCTCAATGTCTGCAGCCCAGCACTTTTTAATCAAAACTACTGCGTAAGTCTTCCAACTAGTCTGCTCAAGTCTACCTTTATAACTACAAAACGCTTCCTTCTTTTATAAACATATAAACACCACACTAAAAATACACTGAATTCCTTCATTTATCACCTTTCAAAAAGGGACAAATCAAAAAAAACTTAGATGTAAACAAGGAACATTCATACAACATAATTGTATCTATCTAGTACTAGAAATGAAAAATTATGTGAAAAATTATGTGAAAAATTAAATAAAGCAGCCCCATAGGGAGTTAACAGCCTCTATTTTAGGATGCACTTAGGGCTATTGTTATGGGTGCAAAGGCAACACAATGCATTTGTACCTCATTCCACTTGTTTTCAGAAAGGATCACACTGTTCTACAACATCATAGACAAACCACATTCCTAAGCTTTTCCTAAAAGGAAAAATCCCTAACATCCCTCTGTATAAGATGAAACCTCCCTCCACCACCTTCCGGCACCATCTAAACTGATAAATAACACTTCTGTCATTTCTTGTTTGTTTTTTGGGTACCAGGAGTCGAACTCAGGCCTTGTGCTTACCAGGCAGGCACATGTGACGCTTAAGGGTATTCCTGGCCCTTCACGCTCATCTTTTCTTACACTTTTCGATTCCCCTTGCGATTTCCTTAAATTAATGACGTCAAATTTCACAATTTTACCAATATTTGTGCTAATAACATTTCTGAACACAGAAAGATTATTTTTCTGTTGACTTAAAACGTAGGTCTGTGTACTTTAGAATTTAAAGTACATACTGTGGAACTCTAAGTCTAGTCAAATCGCCAACACTCATCATTTACTCTTGGCCCTTTAAAACGTACTTCAGACCTAAATAGACATTTACGTAGGCTTACCGTAAAGTTTGCCCACAGAAACGAAATCTGGAGAAAAGACTGATTCTGAAGCAGTGAAAACACCGGAAGAAAGACCTTCAAATAGTAGCCGTAAATTGGGACACTGTCACATCAAAAGCTGTCCTCCAAACCAGCGCGTAAGGACTTCATGCTTTAGGAAACGAAGTCTGAAATCAAGAACAGCGAAAGCGGAGTGACTAAACCTGCGTGTCTAATTTTGCGGTCTGTTCTTAAAACCATAGGTAAGAAGGGTAGGTAAGGTGTGGAGAATAAAGGCAAAGGCAGTAGTAGAAACCCAACGAAAAGGGGTGACATGAACAGACCCCGCAGCGTGAGGCTAACCCGTTACCCCCAATCCGTTTTAGACAGAAAAGCAAGGCTCGAAAGAGGGGACATACGGCGTGCACCCGCCGCCACCGACCGGAACCCGGGAGCCAAGCGCCCGCCCCTCAGGGCCAGCAGGCATTCGGCGAAGGCGGAGCGGCGATAGGCTCTCAGGCCCAGGCGAACCGGGAGCCCCTCACCCGCCCAGGTGCACGATGAGACTGGCGCCTCAACTGCGGACTAGGTGGAAAAACTCAGAGCGGCGCGCGTTCGTGAATGAGCCTGCGCGAACCGCCCACACGGCGGCCTTTCCGGCCAGCCGTAACGCACGCCCCACGGGTTTACGACCGTTCGCGGCACCGGTAAGGGGCAGGGCTGCAAGGCGGGCCCTCGGTATGGCCCTCCGATTGGACCGCGTGAAGGGCGGTGCGCGCGGGGACCGCCGATTGGCGGGGATAGCGCGAGTTGGGTTTGAAGTCTGAGCGCGCTCCCGCAGGCACCTGCATCTCCCGACACCTCCCCAGTTTTGTCGCAGCCCTCAGCGCTCTTGCCGGTATAAGCACCCGTACGGTATCGCCTGGGGCAGTATTGACATTCCCGGCTGCCGTCCCGCGCCAGCGGTTCTTGGGATGCCAGGGGTGAGCTCTCGCCACACCCAGCGGCGACACGAGGGGCGCCCTTCCGAGATCCGTCTACCCGAGGCCTGAAAGGCCGCTCACGTCCAAAGTCCCCTTGAAGGTATATCCGCAGAGGGCCAAAAATTGGAGATGAACGGCTAAAATGCCTGCGAGGCTGCCAATCCTCTGAAGCCCTGGAAGCAGCTCAGGAAGTGTCTGGGGGAGAGTCCTCCTGAGATAGGGAACACCATTAAGGGCCAAGGACAGGTAAAGACCTTGGCCCCTGACTAATCTGTTACTCACTAAAAGCTTGATTTCAATTTTCTTCTGAGGTACACAGGGGCTAAACATTGTGCTAAACATTGTGACTTCACTTGGTCCTACAGATGCCCAATAAATAACTAAAGCAGAATAAAGCTTGACTTTCATTTCGTATGTTTCCTTTATTACCTTAAAACTTTGAGTCAGATCCCTGCTCAGGACATACACGTTAATAACTCAGGAAGGGGCTATCTAAAAACTGGCAATGCGAGGTTCATTAACCTTTTTTTTTTTTTTTTTTTTTTTTTTTTTGTCTTTTTCATATTTATTGGTACCGGGGATGGAACTCACAACCGCCTGCTTGCAAGGCAGGTGCTTATGCCGCTGAGCTAAATCCCCAGCCACTGGTTCATTAACCCTTAATTTACAAGACCTATCTTCATCTCCCTTCAAGACTGACACCAAGAGATTTATAGGGACATTCAGTTCCCAGTGACCACACCCAGATGGCTTGTCATTGATCTAAACCTAAGTTCACCTTCAATTCCAGCAAGCCTCCAAAAACCTAAGATTGCCTCAAACAGAAACAGTCATCTCCAGGAAATCGAATTAGCCCCGGAGTGTTAAAAGACATGAAATGAAGTAATTAGCTAGACCTAATCTAACCCTAACTCAACAATTTATTTTGGTACCAAGAATTGTGCTTGCCAGGCTCAAGCCACTGAGCTGTATTCCCAGACATCCAATTTAAAAGCTGTTCTTCATTTGTTGGCCTGCTAATCTCATCTCCATCAGAGATGTGTCCCCTTCAGTTCTTTAGGCTGAAGGTCCCTGCCCTATTTTCCCTAATTTTGCTTAGTAAATTAGCCTGTGCCTCGACACATCCTGAAATGCCTCTTTGTTGCTGGGACAACACACAACACCCGCAACCTAAAGGTTGTTTAATTTGGCTTAGGTTAGAGGCTCTAGAGGACTACACAGTCTGCTGGCTCCAAGGAGGACAGTATGGCAGAAAAGCAAAGTGGAGAAAAAGCTGCTCATCTTAAGGCACCCAGGAAACACTCAAGGGCAATCAGGAAGGGAGATGCATCCTCATGGGTCGGACCCACAGTGAGCAGCCTCTTCCAACTAGACTCCACCTCTTAACAAGTCAGTTAGAAGCCCAGTACTCCAGGCTGCTTCCAAAAGCCCCACCTGTGATCACAAGGCTTTGGTGGGGTACAACTAGACAGAAACGTCACAGTTCCTGCCTCGGCCACTTTCAGGCACCCACCTCCTTGCAGGGAACCTCCTGGGATCATGTCTAGTACACTGATCCAGCCACGTAACACTTGGCAGTAGGCCCTCATGAGGTACTGAGGCCAGCAGGATGGAAACAAGAGTACATATAATATGTCATTTTTTCTGTGGCTACTGGCTCTTGTCTTTGCTGTGTAACTTAGAGCCCCACATAAACAGAAGCTTGGTTAAGAGGTGAGTTGACAACTTTAGCAGTTTCCCATTAGGCTGCCTCTGCAAGTGACTCCTTAAAAAGTCACTTATGGGCCAGGGATACAGCTCAGCAGAATAAGCACCTGCCTGGCAAGTGCAAGGTGCCAAGTTTGCTTCCTGGTACCAAAAAAAAAAGTCATTTACTCACCACGCTGGACTTTCTTACATCTGTCAGCACCACCCTAAGAGAGGTGTTCCTATGTCATTCTTTGGCCAGTGCCTCCCAATAGAGGGAGGTATTTATGTCTCCCTAGGACATTCACAGTGGACAGTGTCCTTCATACATTTTAAGTTGCCAAAGCTCCTCCCCACAACAGTCAGCAATCTGGCAGGTTCTCCAGGGACAAAGATCAGAATCCCAGTTACCAGCAGGCAGCAAGCCTGCACTGAGGGCCAGGCTGTCAAGTTCTGGTCCTGGCTCCCCTTCTTCATGCTACCTGTGCAGTGCAGCATTGGCCAACAGCACTAAGCCGACAGCTTCCTCATCCATGAAACAGGGACATAAGCACACCTGCCTCTCTGGTTTGTTGTAAGGACCTAACAGTTAACTCCTATGTCTAAAAGGCACGGACTCCTGAAATATTTAAATATTAGCTATTATCTTATACTTCATATCTATTCTTCCTTACCAACTGGAAAGGAAGAACTGCCACTGTGATTTCCAAGTCTGTTCCAAGAACAGAGCCAGCAGAGCCCCACAGCTGGGGTGCTTCCAGTGAGCTAGAAGTGATACCCACCCAACTCAGAGCTAGGCATCTCTCACAGCCTCCCCTGACCAAGTGCTCTGCGTACTACACCTCAGCCACCAGCATCCAGAGCTCTCCACCTTGTGGCCACAGGTATGATGCCATATCAGTATCCCACGGTTCCCTACATTTACCCTATTCTTTCATCAGACTCTCATCCTATTCCTGGAATACAACCTTATCCTCCCTTACCATCCACTGCCTCAATTATTCCCAACTGTTCCATCCCTTCCAAATCCTCAGCTCAGATAAATCAGTGGTTTTCATGCTTCAAATAGGTTCTACCTTTCCAACGAAGTGGACCTCCTGTTACCTTTTGTAAACTCAGAAATGCCTTCTCCCACTAGATCAATGTGTGCTGACTGCCTACTATAATTATACCAGTTTCCAGGGAAGGGTCTTGCAGAGTGAATGCCCAACGTTCACTAAATTACATTGCAGAGTAGTCTCAGTTATCTCATTCTGATTCCAGTTGGTTCAATGAGTGAAACCACAGATACTGCTGATTCAGAGTTTAATGACCCTTGAGTTAATAAAGAAATCCGTAAGTTAGATCTAAGATCTCTAAATCCTTTAACAAAAGGCAGGCTACTGAGATTTGGAAAGGATTTGTTTAATATTAGAATGCTAACTTTATAGACAAAACTAGTTAATGATTAAATACAACAAAATTCAAGTAAGTATTCTTTAAAATTAATAAGAAATAACCTATCAGCTTTCTATCCTTTGCATGTTGAGAAGCTCTGGGAGTAAAGCACAATTTAAGGAAAGGCATCTATGAAATTTAAATTAAAATGTATGTGATTATGACAATTATGTCATCTCTATGATTAACTGTACACACATAAAATGCTCTTTTGGGGGGGGGTCTTTTTCCTTTTTATCAGTACCGGGGATCGAACTCATGACTATCTGCTTGCAAGGCAGGCGCTTATGCCGCTGAGCTAAATCCCCAGCCCCACACATACAAGGCTTTCAAAAAGCTGTTCTGTCCCTAATAGCTAAATCCTCGACATTCCCAAGGAAAAAAAATGAAAGATACTATTAGCCCCATAGTTTTAATAATTTTACCACACTATCAAGTATATTCTAATTTCTAACTTTAAAATATTTTAGAAGACAATTATTCCAATGTTGGACTAAGACTCAAAGTCAGTGTCTGTCAGTGCTGGATGTTAATTCTTATTTAGGTTTCCATTTTTTATACATAATGCACCAAGTACACCATAATCTCTAACTATTGTGCCACAAAAGATCTCACGTTGAGACTGGACTGGCAAGTCTCAGTATCTTGCCTCAAGATAAAAAGGGCAGAAGATGCCCCTCAGTGGTGGAGTGTTCCAAGTTCAACCTCAGTATCACACTCAGGCACCCATGCACATGTACACACACCAAAAAATAATTGTTTGCTCCAAATGTATTTGTGCTTTTTGTTTCTGTGACACAGTAAAAGAAACCTTACCAAGTATCTTAAAGTAATTCTATTTTTACAAAGCAACAGATTCATAATTTTTTAAATATACTTTATTAAGCTACTTGGACAGTAACTATAAAAGCTTTAAACAGTCATTCCAAGTAGTGAAAGGTAATTTCCTTAAAAAAAAAAAAAAGACAAAAATATCCACATTATGTTTTTTGCTGCTTTATACACAGGAATGATCTTACATATCAGTCACTGGCAACAATCACCTGTAAAATGTAAAAACATTTCTGTGTCTGGAAGGCAGAGTGAACTCCATGATATGTCTTCACATTAACCAGTATAAGGAAGCAGAGGACTATGGTAACAGTGCAAAATGAAATTTACACAACAGGCACCCTGAAGTCAGCTACTGCCCAACTTTCACATTAAATGTTACTTGTATGCATCTCCTCTCATCAAAGGTTATGAACCAGGGAAGCCAATGTTTCTTTGATGCACACACAAAAACAAGTTTAGGATCCAAACGCTGTTCTGGTTTTAATACATGCAAGACAGACCCTAAATAAAAAGTTTTCTGAAAGAAAATGAAGAAAAACAAAAAGCAGCCAGGAATGAAACACTTATAAGCACTGCATAAAGCCTTTAAGGTGTCAGATAGGTGTTTTAAACCCCTTCGTTCTCAGGTAAGGGATTAAGAGGCCGAGAGAGGTATCGTCTGCGAGGGTGAGGATACTGGAGGCTGGCAGAGTCAGCATCGCAAGAGTGCTCTAGCAGAGGAGGAGGAAGGAGCTGGGCATAACTGGACCATCGCGATCCAGCCCGTGGGGAGTCCAGAGGGGGAAAGAAATACCTGAAACAATGAAGACAGGAACAAAACACCAAAACAAAACAAAAACAACAGGAAAAAAAAAAAAACAGAAGAAAAAGAGAAAAGTAGTAAATACAAAGAGAACCAAAGAGGAGAAAACACATGCTGGAAAAAAAGCTTTAGTATATTCATGCCAAAACTAACAGAACATAATAGCACAAATCAAGACCCTCACTCAAATCAAGATTACTTAAGCAAATACAGAAATTTGAAAGAAATACAATCCGTTAAACCCAAAATGTCAAAAAAAACTATCAGTATGAATGTTACAAAGGAAGGCATCCATTTTCTAAATCTGAAACATTCCCCTGTCTTTCAGAGACAAGCGAGGCTGTGATTACAGATTCACTCTGCTGGCTGCTTTGCCCACAGTGGGAACTCTCTCAGTACACACATGATGCTGAGGTCCATGCACTCACGCTACACAGCATGGCTGCTACGCAATGGGGAACACCCTCATTCCCTGCAAGAGCCTCAGAACAGCTGCAGGGTTGTAATAAATAAAAGGCTAAAGATTTTTTATGCATTACTGTCATTCTTCTGCCACTTTATAACTTACCCACAATAGCACGCACTTTAGCAAAATTTTTGGCTTTGTCAGAGTCAGAACTTCAAAGGACAGGAATTCATTAAAATAGCAAACTAACTCTGAGCCGAGTGGTGGAATGCTAAGTTAATCTGCATGCATACATTGGGTAAAACCGCAGCTAGTTCTCTCATGTTTCCAAATTTGTTTGATAGAAACTTTTGTAACTGTGGGATCACACCATAAATATATACATATACATATTAGAAACAGTTATCTCTTTAGTGAATATGAATTGAAAACTTATAAAAGTATTTCCATTTTCCTTTACCAAATTATACATGAAACAATACCAAGTGTTCTACTTGGCTACAATCTGCACAAACTACTTTTATCTTACTAGTACTACTTTACTAATTCACCTTTAATAATATTTTTAAAATATTACAAAGAAATGACAAAACTATATAGAATATCATATATCAAGCAACTCTACAAAAGATAAACAAATTAGCACTCAAAACAATCTTTATGAAAAATATTTATTCAATATTCAAATTAAAATTATAAAAATTTATCATTTTGGCTTATTGTTTTAGAAAACAAAAGAAATATACTTCTTCAAAAAGAATTAAATGATAGTTAACCTCCTCCCAACTACTTTATAAGGACAATAATTATCCTTTTAATTTTTAAACCCAAGTTAGTTTCAGGAACATTTCAAAAAATTGTTTTGGTGACTCTCAACAAAAAGCCTCTCTGTTTATATTTGAAGTTTCAAATAGTGTCAATAAGCTGACTAGTACAAATAAATGGTCTCCACTTTTTTTTTAAAGGCCTTTTGGACTGCGTGTGGTAGTAAGCAGGCAGCTGGTGTATCTCGGGAGAGGTCAAACGGCGCTGGGGAAGGGGAAAGGAGCTCACTTTCCATTCCTGTGTGCATGCAACAAGCAGCAAACAGCAAAGTTATCCATTAGCTTGTGCTCAGCTGTGCTTTCTGTTAAAGGACATAATACAAATGGAGAAGGGAAAATGCATCACAGATCTAACACAGAGGTTATCAGCACAACAAGAATACAGATCAAAACATCACAGCTATGTACAAAAGCAAATACACAGTACAGGCAGTTCCCAAAATCACATTTTAAGTAAGATTAACCCTAGTATTCACTGTTTCATGAAATTATCTATATAACCCGCTATCCTGTATGGCAACCTGAAATTGTTTTAATGATGCAAAACTTAAAGCTTTAAAATCAAGTAGCTAGACATCTTTATAAAACTTTTAACAATATAAAAATAATTGAAGCTTCAAGTACGATTTTCTTCCACTTAGTATGACAATAAACACGGAACAATTTATGGATGGTTTTGAAGTTTCCTGAATTTTTCCAAATTATTCCAAAAGCATATTAATAATCTTAGCTTAAAAATGCACATATTTGAAACCTGAATATAAACACAAAAAGATGACTCTTTACATGAAGTGTTTCATTTATTATGAAAAACAAGAATCTAACACATGCTCAATATTCCAAAAATCAAGATCTCTCAGATTTTATTATTTCTTACAATCTCCATTAACTTTTTCTTTATTTTCTTTTGAGACAGTCTCACATGTAGTGCAGGCTAGCCTTGAACTCCCTTACATAGCCCAGGCTGGCCTCGAACTCAGTGATCCTCCTGCCTCAGGCTCCTGAGTGCCAGGATTACAGGCATGTGTCACCACAAACCCAGATCATTTAACTCACTCTCTTCTACAAAGCATTACTTAATATATTTTGTTTGCAATTCCAGTTTGACCTTATGAAAAAGTCACATTGTAAGCACTAAAAACCTTAAAGCTAGTTAGGATTAAACCCTCTTAAACCATACTTCTCATTCTTCTCGCTGCTTTGCCAAAGCAAAGCAGAAACTTAAAAGACAGGACCATTTTTACTGACAGATCACTAAATTTCAGAATTCAAAGGCTTCACAACCTACCTGTAAAAACTGTAAGAGTTTACAAGAAGTTTAAATTCTAGTGTCAAAATTATGTACGAATTTTTTCACTCCCTCTTAAAATTGAAATAACACACCCTTAGTATGACTACCAGAATCATTTAAAAAGATCATTTATAATTTACCACAAACAGCCTACCTGCCAGCAGAAGATCCATTTAATGAGCTTTGAAGGTTTGGAACGTTTGAACCTAGGGAGGGATTTGAGTTTCCCTGCTGAGAACTCCCATTGACTGGGCTCCCATTACCTTTCAGAATCCCAGTGCACTTCCAGTTGTCCATGTAATTAGCTGAAAAGAAAATCAAGCATGTTAACATGACTGACCCTACACACAGCAGCACAAAACCTACCACGTCTTACAACTACAAGTGAAGAAACAGGACACAGGTCTTAGGCTACAGCTTCTTTCCAAGTCAACATGAGAGACAATTTTTAACTGAAATATGTATTTCTTCAGTTTGACACTTTTTAAAAAAGTTTTCAAAAGATTATTAATTTTAAAAAATAAAGTTTTCACATTCCATTTCCCTTCTTTGTAAAATAAATATTCCCATAGGCAATTCCTTAACTTACCATCTTATCACCTATGAAATTAACATTGAAATGTTTGTCTTTACATTTGTATAAGAATAAAGCTGTCTTCTTGCTCAAGACAGCACACACATTATGTGAGCACCATTCTCTGAACACAAATGTAGATAATAAAACCTTTTGAATGGGTGTCAAAAGGCTTATCCAGGATAGCTCCACTGTGTGAAGGTAAAATTGGTGAAGTCAATGACCCAGCAATCCCAAGTTAAGGAAGCTGCTGGCGTACAGCTGGGTAGTCCTGACTAGGGCTCAGAAAGGACAGCAAACATCCTTAAAACAAAATCACATTAAGGCAAGGAAGGTCTGGGCTGCTTCTACCAGACTACACATGAACATGGGAGACCGGCAGGGCTTCCTCAGCTACAGTTGGGGAACAAAGACTGCTCAGGGTAAACAGGCAGACATAACTGTAATTTCACAAGCTGTGTGTAAATGCCACTGCTCTGGAGGTACACAAGCACAGATACCAAAGCCTGATGGACAAACCTCCATGAAAAAGGCAGGACTCATTCAATGCATGTACTTCCTGCTCAGTGCGGGGCTGTGGAGAAACCCAGTATCCCAGGCTTCTTAAACTTTGGAGTTAACAGTGAAGTGAGGAAGACACTGCCTGAAGGTCTGGTCATTAAAAACATTTAATACAATCAGCTATGACTAGAGTCCTGTCCTGAGCTTGCAGAACAGTCACACAAGTTTACATACAGTAAGTGGTATCATCTCTTTGGAGATGTTGCATGCTCTGCTACAAGTGTCTTAGTTTTTGTTTTAGCGGCTGTTTTGCTTTTGGTGGTAACTGGATTTAAACCCAGGGGGCATTCAACACCCTCAGCTTTTTCTTTTCTACTTGGAGATAGGGTCTCCCTAAATTGTCCAGTCTGGCCTCAAACTTCCAATGCTCCTTTCTCAGACACCAGCACACCTGGGATACAGGAATGCACCCCACACACAGCTATTATACACATTTTACAAGCTGTTTCACTCCACTTAGAAACTTAAAAAACAATCCAACTAGTCATTAACTGTTATGATCTAGATAAACTAATGGTCAAAATAAATATAAGACATTGATTTTAAAATAACTATAAAAGTAAGTTTTTCCAAGGTATTTTAAAGCTTTTATTTTTAAGTGAAGATTCTCAAGTAGAAATAGAAAGCACCCTACTTTAAGCTGGGCACAGTGGCACACACCTGTAATCCCAGCACTCAGGAAGCTGAGGCAAGAGGATCGTCTCGAGTTTGAGGCCAACCTGGGTTAGGTTAGTGAGTTCAAGGCCAGCCTCAACTATACAGTGAGACCCTATCTCAAAAATGACAAAAACAAAAAACAAAGCACCTTACCTTTCCACAATCTGACACAGCCATCATCTCCTGAAGATGCTAGCACCGTTCCTGTTATGTTCCAACTCACTCGCCAGACTTGGGAGTTGTGGTTATCAAACTGAGCAACAATATGAATTTCAAATTTTGTTGGTCCACCCGAGGAAGTAAGTTCTTTCCTATATGTTAAAAAAATACATTCTGAGGAATTCTGAGGAATAAGCAATATCAATGTGAAAAGTGGCACAGCTCTGTGGTAGAGTTGCCCATCTAGCATAAATGAGGCCCTGGTTCCATCCCTAGCACCAAGGGGGGGGGGGAGAAGAACAGAAATATATACATAAATATATAAATGGTCTCAGGCACCCCTTACATTATCTGATGACAATTCGTACCACCGTATCTTCATTTGATTCCAGAACCTCATGAATGATACCCACTGACTGTCTCAAGGCAGAAACAATAAACAAGGAAGTTATTTGACATTCAAGGTTCAAGAATCAGAGAATAAATTTTAAAAAGAATGGCACCAGGAAGAAAAGAAAGCAAAAATAGAGAGAAAAAGAACTGAAACTCATAATTCAAAATTAAAGTTAAACAGATTACTCACAGCAATGTCTTAATGCTAATTTATTTTTCCTTAACCAAACATTTTATAAGGTACTAATTTTTTTTTTTTTTTAACCAGTACCAGGGATCGAACTCACGACCATGCGCTTGCAAGGCAGCCGCTTATATCACTGAGCTAAATCCCCAGCCGGTACTAATTATTTTTAAAGACTCTAAATCATTGGTACTAGGAGCTTCAACAAGCAATTAAGAAGAGAACACATCAGCTGGTTGTGGTAATGGCTACCTCTAATCCTAGCACTTCAGACAGAAGGACTAAAAGTATAGCAGCAGGGGCAACCTAGCAAGACCCCATCTCAGAAACAAAGAGCTAGGGTGTACGGCAGCAGAGTAGAGGCCCTTGGTTCCCCCCAGCCCCTCTTCCCACAAAAAGAAAGAACACATCTCATCTTTTCACGCAGAGCCCTATCCAAATGTCATGTTTATTTATAGCATGTTCATCAAGGAATCCATTCTTCAGATCAATTAGTTCAATTCTTTCTTCCACACATAATTCGAGGGAAGAGTTTTTAAATATGTCACTTCTGGGGGCTGGGGATCTAGCTCAGCGGCATAAGTACCTACCTTGGAAGCAGGTAGTCATGGGTTCAATCCCTGATACCGATAAAAAGGAGAAAGACAAAAAAAAGTCACTTCTAAAACTCACCTCACAGGCTTTAATGTGAAAATTCTCACATCCTTGGTTGCAACTGCCAGTGTGTGGAAAGACCGTCCTAAGTTTGGTGCAAAGGCAATGTCATGCACAGGGTCAGTGACAGTCAAAAGAGTCTCAGCTTTTGCGTATTTCCTAATGAAAATAAGAACATTTTCCAGAAATACTGTTAATAAAACCCCATCTATCAATTTACACTGCTATTAGTAGCACTTACCTCTGTAGGGACTGATTATTGACCCCCCAGAAAGGTCCGTCTAAGTCCTACTCCCCTAACCTATGAACAGGGCCTTCTGCCGACACAAAGCCCTGGACTACAGCTGGCCTTGGACTACAGCTGGCCCCGGACCCACAGTTCGGTCTCGCTATGAAAAGATGAAAGAGGAGAAGCAGAGCCTGATGGACACAAAAGCACAGACTAGAACAACATGGCCACAAGCAAGGAACTGTGGAGCCAGGGGGCAGGGAAGGACTTCCCAAGAAGCACAGCCATCCACATCTAGCTATCAACTCCTGGTATCATCAAGTAAATGACTTTTCATTGGATAAAGCCACTCAGTTTGCAGTAATTTGTCACAAGTGCAAATGAAAACTGTACTATTACTTCCCAGGCTTCCCACTCTGACAATGTAAATTTAGCCTAAAACAGCTAATAAAAACATAAACCTTGATTAACCACTGATAGCTTTTTTTAAAGAGGATAATGAACTTCCTAAGCCTTTGAGTATAAATTTAAAAGGCTGATAAAAGGAATTAAGATGTATTGTTTTTTGATATCGAGGATCAAATTCATTGGTTTACTTTTAGAGACAAGGTTTCACTAGGTAGCCCAGGCTTGCCATTCAAACCTGTAATTCTTCTGCCTCAGCTTCCTAAGTGCTGAGATTACAGATGTGTGCCATTATTCCTTGTCAGAAAGTGAGATTTTGATGTAATAACAAAAGGAAACTATGCCATAGTCCATTTTATCCTTAAGTTCTACCTTTGTATCTGTAAACAGAAACTAAGAGGACAATACAGGAGATGGAATGCCCAAGTTTTCTACTAGATTCTTGGATGTCTTTGGGCATAATGGATGCGACACAAGTGCAAAAACCTTTGCTGGGGAGGGGAGGAGGCAGAGACGTCCCCATCTGCCTTGTGCTGGCTTAACCTTCCCATCTCAACGTCCTTTCTGAATCTCCCATATCAGTGCACCTCAGCCAGGCCCACATGACACTCACGTCTCTGCCTGTCCTGACTCTCCTGTCAAGCTCCCTACATCTAGCTCCCCACATCCTCATCTCTACTGCATGGTACCCAGAAGTATGGAGCTTCCAAGATATACAGAACCCCTGCCCACACCAAGCCTACCGAATCTCAATCTGTGTTTGAATAAGACCCTTGGACAACACACCTGGATGATCGATAAGCAAAAGTTCCTACACATTTCACCTGCAGTCCTGTCTTAGCTGCACAACCAGACACAGGAAGGTGAAGAGCACGCATATTGCAGCTGGTGTCTGGGATGACTCCGCCCTTCCCAGTTTTAGCAAGAAACACCAACAATGAGGGCAGAATGCAGTGTCCAGGATACCTCCTGGTGCCATAACCCTGTAGCGTCCCAGGGACACAGAGCCTTCCCCACAGAGCCTGACTTCCACCCCATAGAGACCACGAGCTGATAAAGGCCAAGACTGTGATATTGCCAGACTGCTACTCTACCCACCTGCCCTTCAAAGATCTTCCCACAAAGTGTCCCAAAGCACTCACACTGAGTAGCCCAAGTGAGTATCTTCCCCTCAGCCACAAGAACCCAGGACTTCTGGACACACAACTAGTGATACAGCAGAGGCACTGCCCTCCAGGACAGGTCCTCCTAGGCCCCTTTCTCTACACACTGGGCTTCACCTTCCTCACTTTCTCATGGCTGCCAGAACTGCCCTCCTCATGTAAATGGAGGTCATGCTATTGCACCCTTCAGGAGCCCAAATGTTGGCAGGAACACAGCAAGCCCAGCAAGCAGTGCGACCCACATCTGCACCTCCCCCCGATCCTCCCAGACTGGCACCATGCCCAGGGTCTTGTTCTAGCTTCCCCTCTGGCAGCAGTTTGCACGTGCTATTCAAAAGGCCTTAGACTTTTTTTCCCTTACCTGAGACAAACTATATACTTTAATAGTGGTTATTTAAGGTATTTGAAGGAACTGAATGACAATAAAGTAAGGAATATATTAAAAAGACCCTGTTTCTCCTCCTGACTCCTACATTAGACTCAGACTGGTCACTTTGCTCTGCTGGTCTCAGTTTCTTCATTTGCAAAACAGTGCTGACATAAAACTGCAGGCCCTATTCCTGACACTGTAAAAGTGCCCTGCAACTTACACAGCACTTGCATTATCTGGAAGCCTTCTGTCCACCTCCAATTCATCACCAGATCCTCTTGACACCATTCCTTATCTCAAATGGTCCACCACTCTCCATCTCCCCGCCACTGTTCCCTTCCAAAGCCATCATCTCCTTCAAGCTGGACTATGGTCCAAGTCCCTCAGCTTTCTCTGATTATGTCCCTTGAACATACCTCCCACTCCCTGGTCCAGTTACTCCTATTCACATTCCATGACCCCGGGCTCCAGATCTCCTGAGCCTTCCTCTCACTCCTTCTGCCTCCAATGTTGCAGCCACTCACCCTTACTCCTAGGCCTTTCTGTCTCACTAACAACTGCTCCACTGCAGCTCCTCTTCTTAGTGGACAATCTTAGTCCCCTAAACCTTCCTTGACTAAGTTCCCCTAGACAGAAACTCTTTACCACTACTTCGCAACCATCAGTTCATTCATTCATATTTTTTATTACTTTTTTCTTTTCCCTGCAAGATGGTTCATAGTGGAAATCAATCCCCTTCTCTTCACACTCACATTATCAAAGGTTGACTTGTCACAGGAAATCATTAGGTATGGAATGAATGAGGTATAATTCAGCTAACAAAGGAATATTTTAAAATCAAATATCTCAGCAATAATGAACACTGGAGCAGTACTGACCTAGTGTTTTCATTGTATTCAAAGATCTGGACCTTGGCCATGGCGTTTGGACTGCTGTCATCACTTCCTACAGCAATCATGGGAGCATGAGCACGAGAGCTAGAAACAAAAACAAACATTTCACCTCAGGAACTAGACCCATACTCCAGGAACAAAAGCACTGAAGTAGCAGAACAGCTTCGAGCCAGCCAGGCCCACATGACACTCACATCTCTGCCATCCACCTACAGAGCCAAACCTATGAGCATGCGTCTGAGGATGTTGCATACTAGAGCAGGGACACTATCCTTCTGATTCCTCCAACCATGTTTTCTATAGCTAGAAAGCAGCCTTTCTTCCAAAACAAAGTTTCAGACATTCATCAGAAGATAATACCAGCTTTTTCTTGGGAAACAACAAAGTTTTTATGAAATAGATTACATTTATATATACAATAAAGATTTACAAAATCCAATGTTGTAAAGCAGGTTGCCAATCAACTTTTAGAATCAACTAGTCCAAAAACAAAATATGTATACACATATTAAACATTTACAGAATGCAAATGTCATTAACATAAATCTTGCCCGCCTACACACAATATAACAAATATTAGGAAATGGAAGGATCAAAGTAAAATAGAAGCAAAGTAAGCCAGTTTCTTATAAGAGGAATCATTATCTAAAAATTGATAATATGTAGCTATAAACTTGAAATTTTTAAACTATCATCACAAATAAAACATCTACCAGTCATATCAAAGAAGGTAGAAAATCTCAAAGTACTATATATTCATCTCTTGTAATAATGTGCTATATTCATCTTTCATATAAATGAATATGAATACTATTTAAAGATAAACACAAGAGCCAGTGGTAAAAGTAAATCTTTAGAAAAAAGTAATACTGACTACCAGAATTAAAGGCTAAGAATAGAACTGTTAACAGCACTTATTTTAGGAGCTAAGAAGCTTTTGACTTCTGTTTTGTATTCTTCTGGGTTGAAATTTTTTTCTTCAAGTGACACTTGTATTTTTACAAAACAGTTAAATAAAAACTGGCACATGCATTATGATCACAATCTACACAGCAGATCAAAAGAGAGTAACATACAAGGGCTAGATACATAAATATGAGAAAACACCATTAAGTATTTATAAGTGAAAAAAAGGAAAATGTATGAGTTTATACATGTCTATTACTCTATGTCTGCCCATATTACTATGTATCGGTCTGTATTTGTATATACCTGTGTTTATAAATACATACATAACACAGAAAGTCCCCAAAAAGCTCACACCAAAAGATTTACAATGCCTGGCATCCTCTTGGCGTAAAAACTCAAGGACAAAAGATATCACGCAGTAAAACACAGAAATTTATTTCAGATAATATATTTTATTTAAGCAAGCATTTTTTGAGAAAGACTAAAGACATCAAAGACTTACCTTAATAATTACTATCCTATTTTACTAGGATTATAGCACCAGAGATCTGCTACCTGAGCTTACCTTGAAGGGTTCCAAGAAATGCAGCTGCAGCTGAGTTTGCAAGCGATCTCATGCTGCAATGACCACTGGCTGAGGTTCATGACATCGGGCGCTTCGTAGACTCTGACTATCCCATCTGCTGAGCAGGTGGCCAACATGAGCCCCATGTGCTTGGGAGCAAACTTCACATCAGTAACAGATGTTCTGCTATCCACTAGCGTTGTCCTCTTCACCTGAAGAAAAAGTCATTATTAATCTAAATTACACACAAAGGAACAGCTGATAGGGTCAAAGAACATCCAAGCTTCTAGAATCACAACAAAGTCTGCTAATTACCTAGTGTATAAATCTTGAGAAGGTTGTTTAAAACCCATCAGGGTTTTAACTTTCTACAAAGTACTTTGCAAAATATCACATACAGGGGCAGAGATTTAGCTCAGTGGCATAGGTGCCTGCCTGGCAAGCATGAGGTCATAAGTTTGATCCCTGGTGCCAAAAAAAAAAAAAAAAAAAAAAATATATATATATATATATATATATATATATATACACACACACACACACACATATATACACATATATATGTATATATATATATATATATGCATAATCATCACTAACAATTCAACAAACTGTAATTAGTTGCTGCTGTTAAGGCAGAAAATGTCTGCCTTAGAAAGCCTACCTTTCTTATGTAAGAATGGTCATAAAACCAGAAAATGTTAGAATTTTCACAAAGGGAGCGGTCATGCAAAGCATGCTGCAAGCAGTAAATGACTTCAGACCCTTTAAAAGTGTACTGGTTGACTGTGTCAAATTGAGACATTTAGAAGCTTTAACTAATCAGTTTAGCAATTCTACACTCTAGGGTGTAGCAGAGCCACCCTAGGGTAGCTCATCTCCTGGATGAAGGGGAGGAAGGAGGGATGAGGTTCCATTTTTGGAGGCACTCTAGTCTTCACCCTTGGTTTGGACATCTCTCCTGGCTTCTAGCACAGACTTTTCAGCTTCTGCCTTGGACCCTTCAGGCTTCCAGCATAGATTCTTCAGCCTTCTGTCACAGACCCATTGGTCTTCTGGTGCAGACTTGCACAGGACAATACAGTGAACTCCAGACCTTGGACTGAATCTTCGGCCTCCAGCTTGCATATACCTTCTGCCTGCTTCCTTGTTCAACTCTGTGGCTGACCATAGTAACCCAATCTTGTAATTTCTTTCTTGTACATTTGTATATCTTATATCTGTCTTCTCTAGTAAAACCCTGACTGATACAAATAGTAAATAGAAGACTTGCAATTTTTCTCAAGCACAGATGCCAGTTAACCCCACTTGGACCATCACTACCTGGCACTGTGATAATTATATATTCTAACATCACATTTAAAGCCATTTTCTGAAACCTTGGTTATACAACATTTGACTGAAGCTGTCCAAAACATTTCAGAACTCACTTTACTGCTTGTAATTAGCAAAACACTTAAACAGCCTCAGTATTAAAAGAATACCAGATAAATTTCTTTTTTTTTTTTTTTTTCTTTTTTTTTTTTTGTCTTTTTCATTTTTATCGGTACCGGGGATCGAACTCACGACCGCCTGCTTGCAAGGCAGGTGCTTATGCCGCTGAGCTAAACCCCCAGCCCCTAAATTTCAAAGAAGTATCTCAGCAAAGTTTCATCTATAGACACCACTGAATAATTAACATAAACGATGAAAAAAATAAATTTAATACCAGTTGACTTAATTAAATACAAATAAATATAGTGAAACTACAAAGTCTTTTACATGTTAGCACTCCTGAAACTATGGATTTTCTTCTTCTCTAGAAGCAGGTGTTTGAATATGGAAGCTTTAGTGCAAAATTAACTGGACCAATTCATCCCTCCACAAGAACTGTATGCATTCAAGCTACGGAACCACTGCAACAACAGTGTGATGTATAGAAGGGAGCCCAGAAATAAATCCTCCATAGTTAGTCAACTAATCTGTAAGCATGCCAAGATAAGCTGCCAGGAAAGGCCAGTCTTTTCAGTAAGTGCTGCTGGGAACACCGTATATAACACAAGAACTACGTATCAATCCAATAAAAATAAATCCTTATTTTACATTATGGCATATACCAAAATTAACTCGGCTGGGAATGGTGGTACATACTAGCAGTCCCAGTTACTCAGGAGGCACTGCAGTTGGACTGCTTGAGTCCATGGGGTGGAAAACACACTGGACAACACAGTGACTGGATAGATTTGAACTCACAGTGATCCTCCTGCCTTAGCCTCCTAATGGTTGATATTACAGGCATGTACTGCCATGCTTGGCAAGAACTGCTCAATTAAAAAACAGACCCAGGTGTCATGGTACACATTTATAATCCCAGTTATTTAGGAGGCTGAGGCAAAAAGATCACAATGTAAGGCCAATCTGGGAAAACCAGAGACTTCATCTCAAAAGAAAACAAAAGAAAGGCTAGGAATGAGGGTTAGTGGCAGTGGCTGCTAAGCATATGTGAGGGAGTCCACTGCCAAGAAAAAAAAAGTAAAACGGACTTTCCTCACAGAAGCCATATGACTAGCCAAGTGCCTGAAAAGATCACAGATGCCACTACCAGGGAGACCCCTGTCGAGAGCACAAGATAACCACTTAGCAGAACAGCTCAAGGTTGAATTCCAAAGTCAAGCACTGATGAAGAAAAAAAGAACTTAAACCCCCTTGCACACTGCTGGTGACAATGCAAAATGGAGCAGCCACTGTGGAAAACAGTTTAACACAGAACTGCCTACTGTCATAATTCTACTCTCAAGTAGATATCCAAAAGAACTGACAGAAAACAGCACAGCAATGCTACAAGTGGAGCTCGAGTCTGGTACATTAGACAATCACACCTGACAGCACACCAATGCTCACTGTAGTCTAATAATGGGAAAATACAGTGTCCAATTTACACATTAGGAAATAAATACAGTGTGGCCTATAGATACACAGTAATAACTCAGTCATTAAAAAGGAATGAACTTGCTGTATGCTACAACATGGATGGGCCATGTTATACAAGCTTATCACACAAGAACAAATCCAGGCACCTCTTCTGGAGGAAGCTAGCGTGAGGCTGGGAGCCCAAGCCACAGGTCATGCATGCCCTGCGCTGCCCAGACAGGACAGTCAGGATGGCCTCAGGAGAATTCCAAGAAACTAAAGGGCAAGATGTCTGCATGTGCCTTGTTTGTACAGACTTGCAGAGAAGCACAAGAAGAACCAAGAGGTCCCTGTAAGCTTGCAGAACTTTCCAAGCACTTGGAAAGGTAGAAGATGATGTTTGGGAAAGAATTCTAAGTCTCATGCAATGGCCAGAGCAGATAAAGTATACTCTGTCCAAAAGATTAAACATTACAGACTTGAGAAGGGAGGCAAGAAGTAAAACAATCCCACCACCCCCTAAAAACCACTATCTGCGTTTCTCCTGCTCTATTCAGGATTGCGCCCCAAGATCAAATCCACCAACCCTGGTATCACTACTAGAGATGTGGCTAAAAAGCTGTGTGAGATGTGAAATAATTAAAGTGACAGTGAAAAGCAGCCCTTCATCACCAAGATAGAGAAGCCAAAGCACAAGGAGGAGTGACCAACTATAAGTCTAAAGGAAAGTTCGATGGTTCAAAGGATCCTAGGTCCTGCTAAAGTTGCCCAGAAAAAGGTAGAAGAGAAAAATGAAGAAGAGGGGGAGGCCATGGAGGAGAAAGAGGACAATGAATTTAAAAAAACTATTTTCCTGTCTCTTTGTGAATGCCTTAAGAGTAGGGGAGCACCATTTCTAACCGTTTCTTAAATGCCAACCCAACTGCAATCACGAAGTCTCTCAAATGCTCTAGAAGTTGGTTGTAATTGTCTGACATGGCCATGGAAGTCTGGAATGCTATAAAATTGTTGTACATGTTTCCAAACATTTTTAAACTGAAAAGACACTGTGTTCTCCTCACTCTGTGCACTTTGCTGTTGCTGTGAAAAGGTGTTTGTTTTTTAATTTGTAAGGTAATGTTAACTACATGGTTATTGGCTAGAACCCAAGTTACCAAATGTACACAACCAGAGTTCGTAAAAAGAACAAAGCAACCCAGGAAAGCTCTCAATGCTCCTTTGCTTGGTGCCAAGGCTGTGGGACAGATGCCACCGGGAAGGAACCTTAGACCTGTTGTCACTGTGGCTGTGGCGGGTATCCCATTAGCTTCTGTATACAGTGACCTAGCATTCTTGAGAGGGTCAGCTGGCATGAGAAATCTTTGGGTTCCTTACTGTGTTTTTTGTTGCTTTTTTTGTCTTGTTTTTTAGTTAAGTGAGGTAGATGGAAACTGTTTATAAAGTATAGAACCCTTCATTGGCAAAAAGTCAGTGAAGGTTCAAGAGACTTCCATACTTACAATTTGCAACACTGTGGGTTTTTTTTTTTTTTTTTTTTTTTTTTTTTGTGCTTACAATGCTTACATGTTTTCCAAAGTTAAATAAACAGTATTACATTTTTTTTAAAAAAAATTCAATTTATATGGGGAACCTGGAATATACAAATTCATAGAAAGTAGAATACACATTACCAGGAGGAGGGGAAACAAGAGATGCTATTTAATGGTACAGAGTTTATGCTGAGGGTGCTGAATAGTTGTGCGTACAGCAAACACTGATGAACGCTGTCATGGCTTGTATCTTGGTGTCCCCTCCAAAGTCTCATGTACTCATAGGTGGGGCTTTGGGAGTGACACTGGATCATAGGTATATGATACTGGGTTAGTTCTCTGATTGGTTTAGCATACTTCTGAGCATGAGTGATGGATTCACTGAAAAGTGAAGACCTACTCTGAGTGTTGGATGGCACCAACCAGTAAGTTTATAACTCAGATAGAAAAAGAAGGCTTACTGCTTCCTGCCTGCCACATCAGAGCCATTTCTCCTCCTCCATGCTGTCCTGCCTTAGAACCAGCCACTATGGACTCTACAAACTATGAGCCAAAATAAGCCTTTGCTCCTTAATTTGTGGTATGAGGTATTCTGTTGCAACAATAAGAAAAGTAACCAGGCATGGTGGCACAAGCCTGTAACTCCAGGGAAGCTGAGGGACTTGGGAAGCTGAAGCAGGACTGCCATGAATTCAAGATCAGCCTGGGCTACATAGTGAGTTCAATGCCAGCCAGAATTATAGAGTAAGACTCTGCCTCAAAAACAACTAAACAAAAGTAACTAAGATGAATGCACAGCATTTTGAATGTAATTTAAGCTATTGGACTAAGAGGGGGATTTGAGACAGGATCTCACTATGTAGCCCCAGATGGTATTGAATTCACGGCAATTCTCCTACATAAGGCTCCCAAGTGTTAGGATTATAGGTGTACCACCATACTCAGGAAGTCACTGTATTTTGCCACTATAGTTAAAACGCTGAACATTATGTTATATTCTACTTCCCAAAAAAATAAAAAAATTCAGGGAAAGTGGTAAGCATGGGTGAAAGAGTGGAGGATAAAAGCACCGCTCATCCTGGTAAAGAACAGAACTCATCCAGAAGTACACACCGCACATGCAGCAGGTCCCTCATACAGAAAGGGACAGGCAGGAAGGAGAGGCCTGTCTCATCACACACACCCTTTTGTATACACCATCTGCATGGTTATCAGCCAGTAAAACAAAGACATAGATGAAAAATAAAAAGCAAGTCTTCAATAAAAATGTTAAGACAGGAGCTAGGCATGGTGACATAGGCCTATAATCCCAGCACTCTGAAAGGCTAAGGCAGGAGGGCCACAAGTTTGAGCCCCTCTTGAGCAACTTGGCAACTAAGTAAGAAACCGTTTCAAAATAAAAAATTAAAAGTTGGACAGGGCTGGGCTGGTGGTATGAGCTAGTAATTCCAAGTAATTGGATACTGAGGGATGAGGACTGCAAGTTCAAAGCCAGCCTGGGCAACTTAGCAAGACCACTTCAAAATACAATGCAAAGGGCTGGGGATGTAGCTCCATCGTATAATCAGTATTGCCAAGAACAAAAGAATTAGAAAGCACCTAAAAAATAATCCAGTCCAATTCTTCTGCTCTGTAAATGACAAAAGAACCTGAGCAGCACAGAGGTTATGTCCTTGTGCAGAATCATCCTGTCAAGGCAGAGCTGGAACTTTAAAAAGTACACAGATAAAAGACAGCACATTTTTCTTAGGCTGAGAGTAGCGCAGAGGCAAAACATGTAGTCAACATGAGCAAGGCCTTGGCTTCAATCCTTAGGACCACCAAAATCACACACACAAACTCAGAAAAACATCTGTTGGAAGATTTTAGAGGGAATCTAAAATTACCATACAAAATCATATGCAGTGTACTAAAATATAAAATCAGGTACAAAGCAAGTATTATAGATGTCACCAATTTTTTAAGTAGACAATGTCCCAAGTGTTTCTGAATACCACTTTGGCCCAGGCCAAATCTAGGAGAAAAATGGGAGAACAGCACATCCAAAAGGCCAACAGAGCAGTGCCATGCACACCAGGGGCCTAGGGATGAGTGCTCAGAGGATGGGTGCTCCCATCCAAACCACGAAGGCTCACCCAGTGACTTTGTCCACGCAGCTTATCATTTGATTCTCCAACTATTTCTTCCCACACAGCAGCTGTCCGGTCAAAAGAACAGGAAGCCAAAACCTGTCCAAATTCTGGGTGGGCCCATGTCACTCTCCACACAGATCCACTATGCGTCTGGGAAAATAAAAGTAAAAATAAAATTCAGCTTATTCTACTTCACACATTCAAGATTTTACTTTAAGAAATAAAATCCAAGTATCTTTTATTTCTGTGTGAGGAGAAAGCTGATCAACTTCACATGGTCCTTGTAGAGTTTAGTCATTGCAACATTTTACTGATGGAATAAAATCCAGCTGGTTACGTGCTAACTGCAATGTTAAAAACTGGAGACTTACTTCAGGGTTAGCTTAACCAAGCTTACTAACATTCTACAGGTCTGCCACCTTTATCCTTGCAAATTCTATTTAAAAACCAGCCAGGAGTGGTAGTACATGACCTAGCACTCAGGCAGCTGAGGCAGTAGGATCACTGTAAGTCTAGGGCCAGGCTGGGCCTACAGGAGTTCTAGGCCAGCCTAAACTGTCTCAAAAAGAAAAAAAAAGGGTCTAACAAAAATAAATAAAATTAGCCAAAATTATTTCCTTCACAATCCATAGTAACAAAAAATAGATTAGCGGTTACCAAAGGCAACAGGGGAATGGAAGTAAAGTGACAGTTGAATAGATACAGGGTTTGTTGCTTCCTTTTGAGATGATGAAAATTTCTGGAATTAGAATGGTGACAGGTGCAATCTAAGTATCTCTAAACTGTACATTTTATGCAGTCCTCCACACTCACAATGCTAGGGATCAAATTAGGGTCTTGTGCATGCTAGAACAGTGTTCTACCTTTGAACTATACCACTAGCCTCCCTCAACTGTACTCAAGTAAGTAAATAAAATATTTAGGGCTGGGCATGTGGCTCAGTGGGAAAGTATCTGCCTACCCTGCACCAGACTGAGTATAATTCTTAGCACTGCAGTAATAAACATAACACAGCAGCAACAAAGTGCTAGAAGAGTCTGGCTGATGTGCAGTTAGGCAGTGACACTAGGAAAGGAGCTGCTGGGTGAGCAAATACACATGAGGAGCCCAAACCCTGTTCCCTGAGAAAATACAGACAATCCCTCACCTACAAACACACTTCAACTTAATGCTAACACTTCAAATTCTGAGTCCTACTCTTTCTTGGACCAGACATACAGTACGCATCCTGGGATGGGTGAAGGAGGCAGGAACTGCAGCTCCCCATAAGCCAGCAGACCAGAGATGGGGCAAGGGCATCACATGCCCCACGTAGTGAGGCAGGTGGGTGAATAAGTGCAGTCTGCACTCAGGATAGCTTTACTTTAACAGTAAAAAATACAAAGTATCTTTCCAGGGAAAGACTACTTATAAATTGTATATTGCATGAGCATCTCAAAGCTAAACAATAAGTTGTTGATACTATTGAACAGTAAATATTTGTTTTTTAAAGTACTGATAAAATACTAACCTTCCAGCTAGCTGTACAATGCCAATCTCCACTTTCGCTTTTATCCCAGACCTATTAAAAAAAAACCAGATATTTATGTAGAGAATTCCTACAAATTGGTACCAAAAAAACCACAAAAACCAGACAGAATCAGCACAGAAGAGAGGAACATAAAATTGACAAAACAATACAACCCCCAAGGAAACATTTATTCAATCAAATATTTATTTAGATTCTTTTTTTTTTTTTTGTCTTTTTCCTTTTTATCAGTACCAGGGATCGAAATCACGACTGCCTGCTTGCAAAGCAGGCGCTTTATGCCGCTGAGCTAAATCCCCAGCCCCTTATTTAGATTCTTAAATGTGTCAGACACTAGGACAGGCACTGAGGGATCCAAGAATCCAAGCTCTGACAAGCAAGAGAGACAATTACACCGACAACCAATTCTTTAGTATTTTTCCCCAGTAGCGGGGACCAAACCCACAGCTTATACACACTTAGGCAAGCACTGAACCACACCCAGAACCCCTCAATTCTCATTACTGATAATGTTTTATCAAGTCCCCTAGACTACCGAAACATTGTTCATGTGACAGATGGAGGGTTGGGCTCAGTAAGACCCAAGTCTTAAGATTTTCATAAACCAAAGAGTATAGTACTTTCCTTCATGTTTAAAGGCACCTTATCTAGTATGTATTGATGGGTTACCTGACAGAGGGACATAGCATATGTCCAAACAGTTCTCCTGTGCTTCAAGACCACCTGCAGACACATCCACCCCACACCTGGTGATCATTTTAAACTACCAATTTACTGCCAGGTGTGGTGGTGCACTGCTGTAATCCCAGCACTCAGGAGGCTGAGGCAGGGGGATTGTTCCAAGTTCAAGACCAGCCTGGGCTACAAAGTGAGCTCAAGCCCAGCCTGAACTGCATAGCGAGACCCTGTCTCTCAAAAAAAAAAAAAAAACCCTACCAAACCATTAACAGCAAAAATCAGGCACTATGCACACCATGAGAAGAATTTGCTTACAATATATATTAAAATAAGAAAACAGAATGCCACCCTGTTCTACTTCGGTTGGTAACACTTGCACAAAAACTCAGACTTTACAATCTGACACCTCCAGGACGATGGCAGGAGAACAGTTTCACTTTGAAGTTACACATCAATTATAGCTACTAAGCAAATTCACAAATACAGAACCCTCAAATAATACAGATCTCCCCATATATATGATGAAAGTAAAGGCAAAACAATGAATTCTATTGATGTAAAAAAAATTACAATTAAAACGATCTTAATGCCCAACATGTCAACAAAGCTTTCAAATCAATCCCTAACTAGTAAGTTCAACTGGAGGCAAGTTCAGTGCTACAATGCTTGCCTAGCATGTGGGAGGCCCTGGGTTCTACCTCTACCTTTTTCTTCCAAAAAAGCCCCCCCCCGCAAAAAAACACCAATTTTGCAATTTGTAATCAAACATTTAAAGTGCGATACACCACTAGACATCTGTAATCCACCTACTCAGGAGGGAGACATGAGGGCTGCAAATTCAAGGTCAGCCTAGATAACAATATGATCCTGTCTCAAAAAAATGTATAGCTTGTTTAGTTAAAAGACACTATCATTATGTTAAAAGAGGGTATCACTCTTTCAGAATGATAATTAGCAAGACAAGAACAGTGAGAAAAAAATTTTTGTATACAAAGCTTACGTACATGAATAGTCATAATTTAAAACATTAAAAGAAACAATATCAACAAATATTAACAATGACTATTAAGACACCACTAAATATTAAGTAATCTTTTCTTTTTAAAAAGAAAAGTACATCTCTTGAACAAATAACCTGTATGCATATAAATACATGTCTGCTCTTCAGTAAGAAAAAAGCACTATTGAAAAATGGATAGAAGACCACAAAACAATGAAAAACAAATTTAAAATGAAATATAAAACATTTATAATTTGTTATTTTCAGTTAAAAATAATCCACTCCACATAGCCTTTTTATAAATCCAAACAAATCTTATCTCAAATGGTCATATGAACTCTTATCAGCAGACTATTCTTGTATCCAATTTATGAAAATTACACAAGAGAATGCTATATATGAGACTCAAAGATACTTGTACACTGATGTTCACAGTAGACACTTTCACAACAGCCCAAAAGAGGATGGATGAAGAGATGAGCAGAATGTGCTTCATACACACAAAGTATTACTGGGCTTTAAAATGAAGTTCTGATGTACGCTGTAAGATAGATGCACACTGACAATGGAAAATGAAATGCATCAGACACGAAAGAATATCCCACAACCTCATGGACACGAGGTACCCAGAATAAACAAATACAGAGACATAAAGAGGAGAGCGGTTCGGAGGAGCCAACTGTGCAGTTCGGCCCGAAGGCAGTGCAGGACACAGCTGCAGCGCAGCGCGGATCTGAAGAGAACCCAGAGACGTCCTCAGCAGGAGGCTTTTCGACAAAAACCGTGCTGCTATCAAGACATCACTGGCATCAAAGCTGAATGAAAGAACGAGAAGCTCTCCGCAGACGTCACTGCGGAGTTGTCCAGAAAGCAAGCCACGAGCACCGCAGCCTTCCCGTCGCTCCAGGGCGCATGTGAGCCCTGGACCCTACCCGAGGACCCACCCCGTCCTCACGGGCGGTCAGCCTTCACAGACCCCGCGACAAACACCCAGTTCCCGGACTGCAGGCCTGGAACCTGTGCCTAGGTGAAGGACACAGGAAAGGGGCAGCGCTCGAGGCCAGTCACGACCAGGTACCGCCTCACCTGCACCCCAAAGTGCGCCCTCAGCTGTCAGACCACCGAGCCGGCCCTGCGGGGCGCGCACACGCCAGGCAGCAACTGCGCAGGCGCACAAAACTCCGCGCCCGCATCGCGGCTTGGGGCCGCCGTAATCCCGTAATGGGGAGGCAGAGGTTCCTCGGCGGGGCCAAGTTGGGACGCCGGGCTACGCGCCAGCCGTGGCTTCTAAACTCAAGCTGTAGAGTGCGCTAAAGTCCGGCGAGGCCCGTTCTCCGCGCGGTCTCCACCCGCCTCCCCCCTCGGCCGCCCGCAGACGCCGCCCCACCTTGACGCTCTGGTCGCTGGAGCAGGTGGCCATACGCAGCCCATGAAAGTCGAAGGAGACATCGTGGATGAGGTCCTTATGGTCCGCCGCGATGCTGCGCGCCACGAACATGGCTGCGTGGCGCCCACCGCTCCCAGACGCCAGCTCGTGAAGGAACGCGCCGCGCCGCTGTCCCGCAGGCCCCGCCCTTACCCCTGCGTGTCTCGCCCCGCCCCCTCGTCACGCCTAGACCCGCCCCTGGGCGCCACACGCCCCGCCCCGCCCGCCGTCGCCACTCTCTGCGCGTGCGCGCACCCTTTGAGCGTAGCTCTTGGCGTGATGAAAGTGATAGGAGCTTGTAGCGAAACAGACCCTGCAGGAGCGGGAAAGTTAACGGCGCCATCTACAGGTCGATCGGCCTTCGCGTGTGGGACCGGACCCCAAGAGAACCCGGAAGGGAAAGGAGCTGATAGGGAGGAGAGACTCCGAGAGAAAAGAGGGCAGCCCAGGGGAGGAGAGAAAGTCAGCTGGAGGATCATCAAGGAGGACACTGGAGGAAGGAATACTGCCGGGGGAAGCGCCTGCTCAGTCGTCCACCTTCTGGGCTGACTTCCTGCTCCGCGCCACCCTCAGTGCCGTGTGTTCTAGTCAGGAGGGTGCTGCCTGGGCTGCTGTCGTGAGGTAACCGCTCTTACTTGAGGGCAAGGACCAGTCCTGGGACAGTCTACCGGGGCGCTGCTTCTACGGCATCTGCGGTGATTCTGCTTTTGGGGACAGCTGGGCGTCGCCTCCGGGCCATCTGGAACTGAAGCCTGGACTGAGAATTCCCCTTGGGCTGCTCCGGCCTTGGTGTCCCCAGTCCTGCAGGAGGAAGAAGTGGACAGGTGAATGTGGGGCTACTAAAGCAGACTCCCTGAGGAGTGCCCACGTGCAGAGCTGAGCAAGACTCTGTCCCAAAGTTTAAAGATTCTAGGAGAAACCCAAAACATTGACTTTGCTCAGCTGCCTTCTGCCTACCTTTATTTCTGGTGTCCCACCTTGGTTTCACTGCCCTCCAAATCCCCTGCCTCCTGTTAAGCCCTCTTCCCCAACTCCTGGCACACACCAGTCCTTCCAGCGTCCATCACAGAGGTGGCATCACTGGAATCATGGCGTTTTCACCTGACCCTTTCACTGACGCACTCACGCACTTGTGCCCCATTGAGGGATTGCAGAGATGAGTGCCATCCTGAAGGACCTAAGAAAGCAGAAACTGTGAGACCCACCACTGCTGGAACCCTTTACACGGCTCGGTTATTGGGAATGCCTGCAGTGAGCTCTCAGTCTCCTGCATAGGTTATGGCACTGCGGGAAAGGAAAAAGCAAGAGACGAAAATGGTGGTGGATAGCAGGGATCCGGGATGACCAGTTGTTCTCAGGGAACAAGACCACAAGTCACTCAGAACCTCGGTATTTATTCATTGCATCTGAGTCAAAGGCAATGAGTGAAGGGCACTGGGTGTTTCTGGGAACAGTAATGGGGGCTATATGTGCTAGGAAGAACAAAGCGTGGGGGAGGGGCAATGAGGAAACCATAGATTTCCAGGACGCCTGTGTTTCCAGTAGGTCTTATCTTGCCCTGTGAGCACTACACAGTCTTTAGCTCTAGGGCTTCCACTTCCAGCTGTGAGCCCGGAGTTTCTGCCTTCCAGTCTGTCTCAAGGGCAGTACAACATCAAGTGTGGACTTCTAGACTCACTTTGTAATTCGTGGCCCCCAGCACATCATACTCCCACTCTATTGGCTAAGCCAGTTCTTGAAGAATGATGTATGCAAGCTAAACAGGCAGGCACCCCAGCTGCAGCTGCTTTTCCAGACCAGTCAACACACCCTTTAGAGCCTGGTATACAGCTACTAATCTGGCTGTTATAAGCCTGAATTAGATAGAAACATTCTAGGCAATCAGATGGGTAGGCCCTCAAAGGAGCAGGCACAGAGGGCCAGATGTCTTGTGACCTTGGAAGAGAGAGACATCTCACACTGTGGGCCACATCTCAAGAAAAAAGACAAAACAAATTAACCATACCCTAAGTATAAACATCAGGGATTGATACTCAAGTATGGATCATCTTGAAGAAGCCAGCAGCTATCATCCTAACTCCCTACAGGAAAAATCACTGCTCCATAAGAATACTCCCTTGCTACGTGACTTGCTTCCCCATTTGTCCCTGATTTGGTCAGTTTTACCTGAACAATTAATCTTATTAGTTGACCATAGTTCTGTCCCACCTCATGCCCTTCTGCCTTGTGCGTTCCCAGTTTTCCCCATCTTGAACCCATCTCACCCCATGATTTTAGGGGATCCCTTCTGTCTCTCCCAGACCGAAGCTGTCTTTCTCTTAATATATATAGCTTGCTCTTAACCTCTGTTCTTCCTAAAATTCATTCTTTGATTTTAGAGAATATGAACTCTGTTCCACTCTGGTCCACTGTTTTGATGGCACTATGCTAATTGGACTTAGTGACTGAGCAGTAGCAACTGCTCTGGACTTCGTGGTTAAACAGTTGTATTTAAGGGGGGGAGCGATTAAGCCCAGCACAATTCAGGCACGAACTTAATACTGGACATCTAGTAGGTTGGGAGTTTCCTTCCCTATATCTTGATGAATGCCTTTTCATCAACCTGTTAAAAAAAAAAAAAAGGTCAGTCAGCAGAAACAGCTACTGTGCAAAAAAAAAAAAAAAAAAAAGAGGCACCCAAAACAGCAAGTATTTTTTTAACAACAGGTATTTTTGTTCACAGTTGTGGAGGTGGGTGACTGTTGCTGGAGATTTGGTCTCTGTGAGGACCTCATTGTTGTTTTTCACCTTGCATGTGTGAGAAGCCTTCTGGTGTCTCTGTTCTACAAGGTCACTGGTTCTATTGGATTAGAATCCCATCTCATGACCTCCTGCAACCTTAATTGCCCCACACACACAAGGCCCAATCTCTAAATATAGCCCCCCTAGGGGATAGGACATTAACATGAGAATGTAAGGAGTACACATATATCTGTAACAGTCACCTACTTTGGCATGTCCTTTGGGTCATACCCTATTTGCAGGGATCTTGAGTACGTTTTCCTTCCAAAAGACATCACTGGTCCACTGCTTTGATGAGGCTATGCAGATTGGATTTAGCGCCTAAGAAGTAGCAACTGCTCTGGACTTAGTGGTTAAACAAGCTGTGTTTAAGGGGGAAAGAGATTAAGCCCAGCATAATTCAGGCACATTCTACCTCTAGGTTTGACACCTAATGGACCTCTTTGGATTTGTTTGTTTTGTTTTGTTTTGTTTTTTGAGACAGGGTCTCACTCTGTAATGTAAACTGGTCCTGGAACTCGCTGTGTAATCCAGGTTGGCCTCAAACTTGCAGTGATCCTCCTGTCTCAACCTCCCAAGTGCTGGGATTACAAATGCGCAACACCACAGTCAGCTTTGGATTTTGGAGGCACACATTTCTCATCAGGATGTGAGTGGTCCAGGAACTGTTTTGAGCAGAGCTCTGGGCCTCCCATCCTGCTGAACTATCTGTTTCATCTCCACGAATGGGCTCCGGAAAGGTCCCTGTAATCAGGCAAGAGAGGTAAAGAGCACCCGGTTGACGATATAGATGGTTCTACACAGTGTGTGAGCAACCCCAACCATAAGGAACACAATGCTGCATACCTTCCTGGGGCAACACTGAAGGACAATCATGAATTGCAGAGTGCCCACGCTATCATTGGAGAGCATTGAAGCTGACTACAGGAGCAGGGCCATGGCGTGGCCCTGGCATGATTGAATTGAGAACAAGGAGACACTACAGAGGGTAAGATGGGCCACAGCTGAGACCACCTGGAGATTTTTCTGGATAGTTTTCCTTAATTAGCATCATCTGTTTCTTTGAGGAATCCTTGAACCCCTCCCAAGATCCTGTTCAGATCTCCCTCATTCTCAACTCAACTCCTTGCTTGCTCTGATTAAATATGGGCTGCCAAACATCAATCGGCTGGCTGCTAACAGAGTTATGAGCTCTGCCAAAGATTTCAGTCCTCCTTGCAGTCGTAGAGATCATGCCACTTGTCTTATTCCTTTCAGCCTTTGCCATGAGCCCTTTTGGGGGGTTGTGGATCGGGAATCTAGGCACAGACCCCAATACGCTTTGACCCATGTTCCTTGTGAGGTCTTTGCTTAGAATGAGAAATAGCAAGAGGTACAGTTGTATACTCAGCTGTGGGCTGCGACCAGATGGTCAGGTACTCAGAAGGAACCTGACTGGAGAACTGGTGACACAGAAATCTGAGGAAGAGGTGTGTGGTGAATAAATTCTGAGTGGGCAAAAACCGCAAATGATGTTGATATCTATGTCCCATGTGAGTGCCCTCCAGGGATGAACTCGGCAGAGGGGGGGACTCAGACGATAGAGTGAATAGGATGTCCCTATCCTGGGGACACTGGCAGCCTCTTCCCCAGCCATCCCTGTCACTGCCCTCTGAGCTCACAAGCAGCAGCAGGGATGGAGGTTATGCAGGGGGCACAACAACAGGGAGCTCCCCCAACCAAGACTGACCTGCTCCAGCTGCCACTTCCCATCCTGTCCCCTGTCGTGGACACTAGCACGGAGTCCCCTAGGCAGGACCATTCCCTGGCACTCAGCCCACTGCTGGGGTGGGTCGACTACCCCGTACATGTTTCCTCCGTGGGAGAGTCAGTGCTTTGTCCTTCCCAGAGCTGACACTCTAAACATGGACCTGCCTTCACCCTGCACTGCTTCTGCAAAAACCATCTGTATTCATCCACCATGCAGTCATCCACGCTGCCCAAACTATGAACTGTGGCCCACTCGTGGGGCGCCCATTGGTCCCACCGTGCTCTCCACCATTCTGGAGCAGGTGGCCTGGTAGGGATGGGATGGCATTCGGATGGCCAGACACAAGGACACTGTCAGAATGAGTGTGCAGGGCTGCTTCTCCCATAGCTAGGATTCAGGTCTAGAACTGAAGGGGGGATATGGGAGTGGCACCTGTCACAACCACCCCTATGCTCCCTGCCCTGGCCTGGTGCTCTGCTCACCCAGAGGTCTTAGCTCCAAAGGAGGTACATGTCCACCAGGGGACACAGTGGTTCTCAGCCAGAGCTGAGATGCCACCAAGGCTCTTTGGGCCCCTGGTGCCTCAGAGCCTCAGGCGAAGAAGGGAGTTGCTGGGCTGGCTGGGGGT